CGCCTGCGCCTTGCGGTGTGGGGCCGAGTTAAGGGTACGGGTTCCGGGGCGCGGTCCGCTGCTCCCCTCACTGGCTCCCGGTGGGGATGCTCCTTTCCCGAGTGGTTTTCACTAGGGAAGCTAGTCATGCCTGCTGTGCAGGTCCCACGTCCATTGTGGCCGTAGTCACGAGCCTCTCCTGGGGCTCACGTTGTCAGTGAGGCTCCTCATGGGCACAGACAACCGCTGCTCGTCCCCTGCGAGAGCTCCCACCCATAGCGCGCCTGGCTGTGAGGAAGGCATGGTGGTGCAAAGAGGAATCAGAGGAGACCACTTGTTCCACTCATCGCCCCTCATGTGAGACCAGTAACTCAGCTTCTGGCCCAGCTGAGACTGGAGGCGAAGGAGCCTACCAAGCTCCTTACTCCCTGGCGAGGAGGTAGGAGGTGTTACCTTCCTTGTAACGAGGCATTGTCAAGCTGTTCTTAAATCTCTTAAGCGGAGTTTGACCTGACACTAGCTCTAACACTGAATACATCCCAACTACCCTTGGGTACCCCAGAGTTCAGGCACTGGTCAATTCCAGACAGGCAGCTGAAGTGTTCGTGTGTTGGCATCCACCAACCTTTTCAGGGAGACATGCACAGGAGCATATGTGTAGTAGAGAATTTTTAAGAAAAATCAGCAGGCACCTGACTGACCCAAAGTAATTTTAAATAAACCACAACAGGAATGAGGAGAGCCTTTTATTAACAAGGGTTAGCGAGACTTTTCAAATGCATTTGAGCACACTAATGTGTTTTGGTGCTGTCTCATAGTAAGACAGAACAAATCAATGCACTAAGAGATAAATGAGGGCTCTAAAGGCTCCTGACTGGATTAATAATCTCAGGAATAATCACATAATGATTCTTCCATTGTTTGCTGCCATAAACTAGAAACAAAGCATTAAGAAACACAAACTTACTGAATTGCAAGAAATTCTCTTCCTAAGGAACAAAGGTCTTCCAATCACTGCTGCTCTAAAATAACATAGATAGGAAATGTTTTAAAACCTGTGATTTGCCTGCTAGCTTTCCCTAATATTTTTTAAAACTTGGACCTACATTATAATTCATGTTCTAAACCAGAACAGTTGTGGGAAAAAAAAAAAACAAAACAGCTTTCTGAACTATTTTTCATCTGGTTTGGGAAGTTCAAGTGTCACAGTTCTCTTTCTGGAAAAAAAAAATTCTGGGAAGCAGTTCAAATAAACATGCTACACCACTAGGTAATCAATTAAGTTAATTTTAAAGGCAGAGGAAAACACAGTTTAAATTTATCATATATGATCTTTCACAATACTGTTACAAAAAATACTTATTAAACTGATATATCAGCTTCATACTGATATAGTAAACTGATATATCAAGTCTAATACATCATCATTATCCAATGGCTTGCTTTTAATAAAAAATAGTGCATGAAAAATGCTTCATGCTTTTAGTTTATACTGCTTGTTTTATCCCTTTCTTAACATACAAAATCAGACAAAAGTACCTAAACCCAGCATTTTTGCAAATAGTAAATATTAACACCCAGGACAGTTCCTAAAATAGGGCGGGTAGAACCATTCCTAAAGACAACTGCTTTAAACAGCAGACATCACTGTTGTTTTTCAAGATAGCCCTGTATCAAGCCTTGAACCCGAGACAGAATAATCTCATTGGAGCTGCTGCACTCTTCTGGGCCGTACGGTGGGTCAATAGTTAATAACCCTGCCACGCATAGCGTTCTTCCCAATTCACCTTGCTCTGTTACAGGGATGTGGTTTCTTTCCAGCCAAGTCTTCAAGTCATTCTTCCTCTTTTCAAGTTCCTCTGGGCTGTAGGCTTTGCTTTCTTCAGGTGCAAATATGCAAGAAAGCCGTTGCTTCATTTCATCGTCCCCTTCTTTCAGTATTTCAACCTCCTGGACAGCATGGCCCAAGACAACTGATATGGACACTTTTTCATTCTCCAGGAATGTTGCAAGGACAATGCTGCCATGGAAAGAAGGATGTTATGAGTCACTGTACTTAACTGAAGACTGAGAAACACAGGCCAAGGTTCTTGGAGATGAGTGCTCATTAAGCATCAGCGTAACCCAGGTATTTAGGCAATACCGAGTACGCACCATTTTTCTTGAAAAGCATGCTGCTATACCCTTAAAATACTGAAAATGTGGAGCTTTGCGGATAACTTCTGGCCTTGAATGTGAAACTACTCTAGATACTATCATGCAGAACATTACTTTAAAAAAGCAAAATGTACATTAAAATCAGGGTTGGGAATCTAAATATTTTTGTGCAGCATTCCCAACCTTGCTAAAGAACCTTAAGTCTTCCAACATTCAAAAACAATGATACCTTCATACATTCAGCACTTTGAATGCTGAAGGCAATGGTGGCACCTAACAACATCAGAATCTTTTAATGACAAATTATTAATATTTAATTATTGATCATTACTAAAAGAACATCTTTTTTTAAAATGAGTGCTGTTAGTTTCTTAACTGAAAACTGTAGCTTGAGTATTACAATGGGAACACACAACAGCAGGTTCAGGCTCATGTTGTGCAACCTGCTCTTTTCCCAAGGGCGCTTACATCCCAGAAGTCCTAAAATACAGGTAGGAAGGCACCTTCTCATATTTCTAGGATCTCTTCCCCATATATCAACGAAGAAGATCAGAAACCAGTTTATTCCTCTTGTGGGAAGAAAAATTCCAGAATTTGATGCCAGCACTTTGCTAATGTACTGTTGCCACCATTAGTGGAAGTAATGACTTTTTGGGAAAAGTGCAATGAAATATGCCTTGATTTTAGCCTGGGCCATCCCCAGAATCACTTACAGCTGCATGCACCTTTCCTACCAAAACGATAAGCAACTCCAAGAGAAGATTAGAGTATTGGAGCTACTCCAGAGTTGAAGCAACAACCAATTCTTCTGAAACACATCAGAAGCTGGATGTTTTATTTTCTAGCCTTCATCTTGTGCTGATGTGGGACAAGCTCACAACCAAAAAGGTATGAAAAAGCTCTGGCAGCGAGGACCCAAATTTCTGCCTATTCCCTGGTGCGTTCTGCTGTTCAAACCCTGTTTTCAAGTTACTCACTTGACATACTAGAGACCTGCGGTAGCACTTTCTGTGCAATGCCCTTGCTGATTTTCCCTGTTTCCTCTCCAAAGAGCCACTACACCCTCATGGGTGTCCGGCTGGAGGGGAAAGCAGGGCATCAATGTGAGAACTCTGGACAGAGGATAAGGATTTTAACACCTAAAGCGTTAAAAACATTCCAGCATTCCT